AATATAAGGTTGTGAACTCAAGACTTCTCTGGGTTCGCTTTAAATTGGGACTGACGAAGTTATTCCTTTTGGCTGTTTATGCACCGGTAGCTTCGTCGTCCAGGGCTGAGCTGGAGGAGTTTTGGGAGAATGTAAGAGAAATTCTAGATTTGGCTAGGGGAAACGAAAGAATTGTTGTATGTGGTGATTTGAATGGATGGGTTGGTACCGCTCGACCAGGGTACGAGTCGGTACTTGGAAAGTTTGGCGATAAAAGGGTTAATTATGCTGGCAAGCTTATACTGGCGGTGTGCAAGGAAAAGGGTCTTCTTGTGACAAACACTATGTTTAATCACAAGAAAATCCATATGTATACTAGAGAACGAAAGAATGAGAGAAGTATGATAGATTTGTTCCTGGTGGATGACTGACTGCGAAAACAGGTGATGGATACGCGAGTGTTCAGGGGTGCTGACCTGGGAACGGATCACTATCTAGTGATTACTAGATTTAGGGGTCTGTTCGCGGGTAGGCGATACCGGACGGCAGTAACAGAACCACAGTCGGTCTGTCGCATCCGAAGCTGGAAGCTTCAGGAAGCGGATACTAGGGACAAATATCATGCGAGGGTAGCCGAAAAGCTTGACACCATCGATGGCAGAAACGAATGTGTAGAAAGAACATGGCAGAACCTTAGGGATAGAATGGTAAGTGCAGCGGAAGAAGTGTGTGGAACAATAAAAAGAGGCAGTAGTAAAAGAAGAGATGCATGGTGGAATGATGAAGTGAAAGAAGCTGTAAAGAAGAAGAAGAAAGCATGGTTAGACTACTTGGCCTCTAGTAATGATAAGGATATGAGAGAGAAGATGAAAGAAAGATATAGGCTGCAGAAAGTTCACACGAAAGCACTGATTGAGGAAGTGCGTGAAAGGTGTAGAATGGAAGCAGACGAAAGGTTGTCGCACAACTTTAAGGAGAACTCCAAACTCTTCTGGAAAGAGGTTGGAAGGACCCGAAGTGGTGCGACGGCCTTGAGAATGAACAAAGTGCTTTCGAGAACCAATGACGTCCTCTCAGAAAAATCGGACGTCATGCAGCGATGGAGCGAATTTTATAGAGAAATGTATGCGTGTGATGATCTTAGTGAGGGATCCGGGGATGACGCCGTGACTGGTACGCCAGACCCGGACCTCGATGATACTGAGGTCATCAGTATGAAAGAGATTGAACGTGCGATTCGAAGTTTGAAATGTGGTAAAGCTGCGGGACTAGACAGAGTTACTGCTGAAATGGTCAAGTATGGTGGGCCTCGTGTCTGGGACAGCTTTCATCTGCTGTGCAATTTGTGCTGGCGGACGGGGGATGTCCCGGATGATTGGCGATCCGCAGTCATTGTGCCTTTATATAAAGGTAAAGGTTCACATTTTGACTGCGGGTGCTATCGGGCGATCAGCTTGACCAGTTTAGCAAGTAAAGTTTACTCGAAGGTTTTGACACGTAGGATGCAAGAGAAATCGGAAAGATTTCTATGGGAGGCACAATGCGGATTTAGACCTGGAAGAGGATGCACGGATCAAATGTTTTCTCTCCGCATGATCACGGAAAAGCTTCTGGCTGTTAACAAGAAGATTTTCTGTGCTTTTGTGGATCTTGAGAAAGCATTTGATAAGGTTGTAAGGAAGAAAATGTGGGAACTGTTGCCGGGGTATGGTGTGGATGGTCGATTGCTAAGGGCTGTACAGTCTCTTTACTGTGACTGTAAAGCCTGTGTGCGAGTAGGGCATGACCTGTCACCCATGTTTAACGTCCAAACGGGCGTAAAGCAGGGTTGTGTCATGTCTTCCTGGCTGTTCATACTGTATCTCGACGGCTGTTTACAGAAGCTGTAAGATAGCTGTTTGGGTGTGAAATTGGGTGACATAAAAGTAAATTGTCTGCTGTATGCTGATAATGCAGTGCTTATTGCACCATCAGAGGCAGAACTGCAGGCATTAGTCACGTGTATGAAAGAGGAATGTGAAATTAAAAGTCTCCGTTTGAATGCTAATAAAACTAAGGTTCTGGTATTTGAAAGGGACGAAGAGAGAACGAAGTGTGAAATATGGGTAAATCAGGAATGTCTAGAACAGGTAAATGAAATTGTATACTTGGGGAGTGCTTTTAGCCGGGATGGAAGATGTGATTTAGATGTGGACAGGCGTGTCGCTGCCGGGAACAAAGTCAATGGTGCCCTGACTGCGTTAGTCAAAAGGCAAGGCGTAGCGAAGAGTGCACGCCTTGCAATACATAACGCAGTGTTGGTACCGACTTTGTTATATGGCAGCGAAACCTGGGTATGCCAGAAGAAGCATAAAAGTAAGTTGAATGCAGTGGAGATGCGATCTCTTCGTAAAATGTGCGGCGTTACCATGGCCGACCGAAAGCGAAACGAAGAGATTCGCAATATGGCAGGTTTGAAATATGACCTTATCACAAAAATTGATAAGGGCGTGCTTCGGTGGTTTGGGCACGTTGAGCGAATGAGTGAAGACCGAATGGTGAAGAAAATATATAGCGCGAAAGTTAATATTAAAAGGTGTCGAGGTAGACCGAGACTAACTTTCGAAGACCATGTGAGCAAATTGCTCGAAGAGGGTAGGGTCAAGAGTACTCGGATACCTAGTCGTGCATGCATGAAGAAGATAATGAATCTGAAAGAAGCGAAAGAGGTTTGTAAGGATCGTGACACTTGGCGATCTGTTCTCTCTGGCTACCCCGTCAGGGATTGTGCGTGAAGATAAATAAATAAATAAATATAAGAGTTTTTCATATATGAAAGTTTATACATCGTTTTACAAGCTGATTTACGTGATATGTTAATTTCCGTAAATTCACCAACAACATCGGCTAATACCTCTGCATCCGAGCATAATATGGAACAAATACTCGTAAAAAAGGAAAATTCTCTCGTAAAACTGCCGAGAATTCAATTACCGACATTTAGTGGTAATTATTGTAGAATGGCCGACCTTTGAAGATTTGTTTACCTCACATATACATAACAATAAGACGATCGAAGACGCACAAAAATTACAATATTTAAAATCGAGTGTAAATGGTGAAGCAGCTTCATTAATCCGACATTTTGAAGTTACTCACAAAAATTATACGCAGGCTTGGGAGGCGTTAAAAACAAGATACGGTAATAAACGATTAATTGTTAACTCAGTGCTAAAAAGATTGTTTCTTCAAAAGAAAATTAACTCTCAATCAGCAAATCAATTAAAATGTTTATTAGACACAACGACAGAGTGTTTAAATAATTTAAAGAACTTGTCTATTAGTGTTGATTCTTGGGATCCTATTATAATTTTTCTCGTTGTGCAGAAAATGGACCAGGAGTCTCATAAAGAATGGGAAGAATATGCCTATAAAAGTGAATCTGAAGATTTGCCGACGTGGAGCGACTTAACAAAATTTCTTCAATCAAGATATCGAACTTTAGAACTTATTTCATCGGGCCCACGAGAGAAGACCATTAAAGAGCGATCTTTCTACGTTAGCACCGCTTCATCAAACAAATCTATTGAATCGTCAACGTCAGCCCTGCCGCGGTCGTCGGAGAAGAAATGTATTATGTGCAACGATAACCACACGTTATGTCACTGCAAGGAATTTACCAACCTGCAACCTTCACAACGAGCGGATTATGTGAAAAAACACAATTTATGCTTCAACTGTTTAGTACCGGGACATGCGGCTCATAAATGTCGACTCCGTATGTTCTGTCGTATATGCAATAGACGTCATCATTCTCTTCTACACCAAGCTGAAAGGAAAGAAATCACTACAACTACCATAGAAACATCACACCAATCAGCGTCACACTGCAACTTAGAAGAGAGGGAAGACATTCAAGTCAATTCAATGATAGCGTCACATCACACTACCAAGCAAGGCATTGCATTATTAGCAACTGCTATGGTGAGCGTTCGAAGTGAGCAAAATTACACCATGGTGCTACGAGCGCTCATACACCATGATCGCAGGCATCATTTATAAGCGAAAGAGCGGCTCAAAGATTAAGGCTCAAGAAACAACCTGCAAGAGGAACTGTCGTAGGAGTGGGGTCTACTAGAACAAATGTAAATCACGTGGTACAATTTCAAGTAAGTTCCCAAGATGCAACTCATTTCAACTTACCTGTTAAGGCGTATGTAATGTCGAAGCAACTTACCACGAAGATACCCGCTAGAACAATTGCTGCAAATCACTGGTCACATCTAGAAGGTCTGAACCTGGCCGATCCAAGCTACTATGCACCAGGTTCCATTGATTTACTTCTTGGAGTGAAGCAATACGCACAGATATTACAACCAGATTTAATCAAGGGTCCACCGGGTACTCCAAGCGCTCAGAAAACCAACCTTGGCTGGATCTTATTCGGAGAGGTCGATGATAATGCGCAGCAAGACACGTTCTTAGTCATGCACAAACAAGTAGAAATAGATGAAGTTTTAAAATCAATATGGGAAGTAGATACAGACACAAAAAGAAGATTGACTAGAGAAGAGCAGTTATGTGAAAAGATATACGCAAAAACACACAAAAGGACCGAAGAAGGGAGATATATGGTGAAGTTGCCGTTTAATACTGACAGACCGAGATGTACAGAAGGAAATACAAGGGATATAGCAGAGAAAAGATTGCTACAACTAGAGAGACGATTCAAGAAAATGCCTAAACTAAAAGAGGACTACACTAATGTAATAAAAGAATATCTGCGTCTACAACATATGGAAGAAGTACCTGAGAAAGAAAAAGAAAAAGAAAAATGTGTATACTTACCTCATCACGCGGTTCTTCGTGAAGATAAAGAATCCACGAAAACAAGATTGGTGTTTGATGCTTCCTGCAAGGGGTCGAATAATGTCTCTTTGAACGATGAACTTCTCGTAGGTCCGCCACTGCAAGAAGATCTTCGTAACCTAATAATAAGATGGAGAATGAAAGGCATATGTTACATGAGCGATATTCAGAAGATGTACCGTCAAATATTGGTGTTCCCCGAAGATGCTGATACTTACCAACGAATCCTTTGGCGCTCAGACGCATCCGAAGATATCAAGGAGTATAGAATTCTTCGCGTGACTTTCGGTACAGCATCTGCTCCCTACCTTGCGGTTCGAACTCTTCATCAAATCGCTGATGATGAAAGCAAGAATCATCCCAAAGCAGTTCAAATAATTAAAGAAGATTTCTATATGGACGACTTGATGGGTGGAGCCGATACTGTGGAAGAAGCTGTAACTGAAGCCAAAGAAGTTGATGAGATTGTAAAGAAGGGAGGTTTCACTCTGACTAAATGGGCTTCAAACAATCTTGACTTCATGCAATCCATCAAACCAGCAGATCGATCTAGGAGTGCACATTTCAACCTCAACATTGATGGAACCGTAAAGGCCTTGGGTATTAAATGGAATATGGGTACAGATAAATTTAAATATGAAGTTATCTTACCAACCATTCAAGCAACTGTCACCAAGAGAAGTGTTTTGTCCGACATACAGAAACTCTTTGATCCGCTTGGTTGGATAGCGCCAAGCATTGTTATGACGAAGATTCTTATTCAAAAATTGTGGCTAGAAAGGTTGAACTGGGATGACAAAATCAGTTCACATTTGCTGGACGAATGGCTTACTATCCGATCAGACTTCCAACAAGTCAACGAGATTGAAGTCGATAGATGGATTGGTACAACGAGCAAAATGAGCGACAACTTACAGATTCATGGCTTTTGCGATGCTTCAATGCAAGCATACGCAGCGCTTGTGTATGCTAGGATCAAAACTGAAGACGGAACAATCAGAACAAAATTGATTGCTGCCAGAACCAGAGTTGCGCCATTGAGAACGATCTCGCTACCTAGATTGGAATTATGCGGCGCTTTGCTGCTGGCTCGTCTGCTCAAGCAAGTTGCACAAGCAATATACCATCATCACAAATATTTGCTTGGACAGACTCATCAATTGTTCTTGCTTGGCTTGCAGGAGATCCACATAAATGGAAACTGTTTGTAGCGATCCGCGTGGTCGAAATAGTAGAGAATGTACACTGCAATAGATGGCATCATGTGGATTCAAAGAGTAATCCAGCGGATATGGCATCAAGAGGTATGTTATTGTCAGAATTGAAATCATGTAAGCTCTGGTGGACAGGACCAACATGGTTGCTAGAAAGGGAAATCCTATTTTCTAACAACCAAACTAAAGAAACTGATTTAGAATTGAAGAGACCTAAAATACAAGTTAACTGTTAATGTTAACTTGTATTTTAGTGAAGGTAAAGAAGAAAAAACAAAACAAAAGAAATTAATAGAACAACTAGAAAATTTTAAGACACTACAGGAAATGCTTAAGATAATTACATATTCCCGTAGATTTTTAAATTACAAGAAAAATTCAAATAAAATTCCAGAACCACTAAAGACAGAAGATTTGGATAGATCATTGAAAGCATGCATAAGACTCGTACAATGCGAAGAATTTGCGGAAGATATTCAAAGATTAAAGAACAACAAGCATGTAAAAACTAACAGTTATTTGAAGAGTCTGAATCCCTATTTAGACGAAGTGGATATTCTTAGGGTGGGCGGTCGCCTTCGACACTCTGAGCTGGAAGAAAAACATCCGATAATACTGGGCACAAAAAACAACTTAACGCCATTGATTATCGCCGATACTCACTCCCATACGATGCACGGTGGTGTCCAGTTGACATTATGTTACCTTCGATCTAAATATTGGATCCTGAAAGTAAAAAGATTGGTTAAGAAGCATATCCACAAATGTTTGACCTGTGCCAAACAAGGAGCCACAGTAAGAACACAGATGATGGGAGACTTACCTAAGGAAAGAGTGAGCAGCTCGAGCATTTTTAAATAGTGGAGTTGACTTTTGTGGACCCTTTCTAATTTTGAATAATAAAGGCAGAGGAGCCAGAACAAGAAAGGCATACATTGCACTCTTTATATGCATGTCAACCAAGGCCATCTACCTTGAGTTGGTTGGTGACTTGACATCCGAAGCTTTCATCGGTGCGTTTAGAAGATTCGTAGCCAGGAGAGGCAAATGTGCTCATATGTGGAGCGACCAAGGTCGTAATTTCATCGGTGCTGATAGAGAGCTACAAGCAGCTTGGCGAGAAGCTGATTTGTCCTTTGAAGGGAACATAGCTGAGACCTTGGCATTAGACGGCACACAGTGGCACTTTATCCCGCCTTACAGCCCAAATTTCGGAGGGCTGTGGGAGTCTGGCGTCAGATCAGTTAAGTACCATTTGAAGCGAGTCCTATCTACAAACCTTACCTTCGAGGAAATGACCACCGTTTTATGCCAAATTGAGACTTGCCTGAATTCCCGACCGTTGAATCCAATAGACGCAGATGATCCTGACGTTATAGAGACATTAATACCTGGACATTTTTTAATTGGTCAAGCCCCTATTATAGTCCCTTCTGTAGACCTGAAAGATACTCCGATTTCAAGCTTAACACGATGGCAACACCTACAAAAACTGCTGGGAGATTTCTGGAGACGTTGGCAGACGGAATAGAAAATAGAAAAATAGAAAATGTATTTATTTAACCAAAAAACATTACATAATTAAGCAATACACTGGTTTCTGCACTAAGCTCTAGGCTTGTATCGCAGGAACCAAGAACCTTGACTGACACCGTTTACACCGATGAATACATAGAACTCCGATTAAATTAAAATACAGAGAAAAGAAAACATTTTTTTTTTTTATAAATTAAAGCATGAAAGAAAGAAAAAAAAACAGCTAATTTACTCTAGCAGTGCTTGCGTGCGTGCGTACGTGTGCGCGTGCGTGTGCGTGTGTGTGTGTGTGTGTCTGTGTGTTTGTGTGTATGGGGGGGGGGGGGGTTGCGTGCTTGCGCGTGTTTGTGAGTGAGTGTAAGTCTACGCGTGTGCATGTATAGGGTCAACTATGAAAGGAAAGTAAGTTTTCCGTTTCCTGATAAGAAGCATGTAGCAACCAGGTTGTTATTTTGTGTTTGACTTTACTTGTGGACAAAGACCTCAAATCTGGGAAGAGATAGCAGAATTTGTTGTAAATGCTAGGCAGAAGAAATGGTGAGTGGCGTTTGATAAAGCTACTGTGTGGATTGGGAATCGGTACTCGAAAGATCCGACGTTGGCACAGGCTAAGATAATCCGGGGAATTTATTATTTTTCTGTGGGTTAGAATAACTGCCTTTAAAATGTAGATTTGGCGAACACGTAGCACCTTACATTCCTTGTACAGTTCGTCAGTTGGAAATCTAAAGTTTTTAGACAGCATTACTTTTAGTACTGCTCGCTGGGCCCTCTCGACTTCAAGCATTTTTGTTTTGATAGCTCCACCCCAAGCCAGCGTGCAGTAGTATAGTAGGGATTGGGTTAGTGCTTTGTAAACCATTTTCATTGTTTCTTTAGTAGCACAGCGTCGCAAAGCTTTCATTATGTAAATGGTTTTTCTAACACTACCCGACAAGCGGCTTAGATGGTTTTTAAATGATAGCTTATCATCAATGATCACTCCTAGATACCTGATGTTATCTGTGTTGCTGATTATATTACATCCACAAGAGGGAACTTCAGATTCGCAAGTGTGAATTACTAAGTTTACCGGCGAAAATGGTTTTGATGCGAGAGTTTTGTGAAAGGCTAAGAACTTAGTTTTTTTATAGTTTAGAGTTAGTAAATTGGAACTTAACCATTTATTCAACACTACCATGCCTTTTTGAGCCGTCTCTAGTACGCTGTCCCAAGTTAAATCGTTAAATATAATGGCTGTGTCGTCCGCATAGCATATGACGTCAGCTCTTTGTATGGGTAATTCTAGGACGTCGTTAATGTAAATGCAGAATAGGATTGGACCAAGAATACTTCCTTGAGGAACTCCAATACTGATTTTTAATTGCTTACTTGTATGTGAGCCCACTCTTATGCATTGACGCCGATTTAAGAGATAGCTACGGAACCAAGCCAACGCCACTCCTCTAATTCCTTTTGTTTCAAGTTTCCGCAGTAGTATAGGGACCGACACGGTGTCGAAGGCCCTAGCAAGATCTAGGAAGATACCTAAACAGCTGCGTTTATTGTCCAAATATCTGGACACAGCATCTGTCAGTAGGACTACCGCATCCTCCGTGGACTTACCCCTCCTGAAGCCAAATTGATTTACAGAGAGCAGATTATTATTTTCTATAAAGTTGGTGAGGCGCTTGCTTACAATTTTTTCCAGTAACTTGGAAAATATACTTAGCAAAGATATGGGCCTGTAATTGCTAGGACAGTTTTTATCCCCATCTTTGTGTATTGGAGTAACAACTGCTAATTTCCAACAATTAGGAAAAATGCCACATAACAAGCTAAGATTAAATATGTGGGTAAGTGGTTGCAGAACTGTGTTTTTTATGTGTTTAATTAACCTTGGGGTGCAGCCGTCGATACCTGGTGCAGTATCATTTTTTAGCTGGTCAATTAGGGTACCAACTTCATAAGGATCCGTTGGCTGCAGAAAAAGGGAGTCCTTGCAAAGCACTCTTGGTTTGTATTCTGCGGCTAACAGGTCTTCTTGGGTGTTTAATCTACTGAGCGTGTCATCAGCCAGTTCTCTGCCAACTCTAGTAAAGTACTCGTTACAAGCGTTTAAAGAAGAATCTGGGTCTTTGTCTACGGACAACAATTCAGTAGCCTCGGTAGTGTTACGTGAGAGATTACATATATTTTTGAGCGTTTTCCACAATTTTTTTGGGTTATTTTTATTTTGCTGAATTTGGTTATTCTCGTATTCGGTCTTTAATTTTCGTTGTAGCGCGTAAAGGAAGTTTCTGTAACGTTTATAAGTAATTTGAATAAATGTATTGTAAGGGTTTCTCCTGGCTTTGAGATGGAGACTGTCACGGTGTTTTTGGCATCTCATTAAGCCTGGAGTTATCCATGGCTTTATAACTCGTTCTGATCGTTTGGGCACCACATAACTTGTGTTTTCGTTTATTGCCATTTCTAAGATTGAGTTAAAATTATCACCTGCCTCGTTAGCGTCTTCCATATTCATTATCAATGACCAATCAGTCGACTCAAGCTTGTTAACAATCCGATTAAAATCCATTTTTAACTTACCGTGGTTTCGAGATGGGTGATTCGCCTGGTTGATAGTAGTACCAAGTAAACAAATGTCATGATCAGTAAGATCTGCATGGCACACTATACCAACAGCAGAATCTGTACCCCTAACGAAGATGTGGTCCAGGCAGGCCGAGCCCCTGGTAGGCTCAGAGATAGCAGAGAGCAGTTGATGACTTGCTAACAAGCATAGATACTCGGAGCACTGATCATCAAGTGGGTCTCCGTTTATATTTATATTTAAGTCACCTGTCAACACCACGGCATGCTTGTTGTTAATTTCCGATAATGATTTATCGAGAAAGGCTAGAAAGTTATTCACATTCTTAATAGAGGGAGACCTATATATCCCTAGAATAGTAATTTGATTATTTAAATTTAAGTTTAGGCAATCGCACTGATCACTTAACGGTTCTGAAGATATTACACTCCATGAATCTTTAACATATGCGGTGACACCTCCACTTTTATTAAGGTTATTTTTTGTGTAAAAGGAAATATATCCTGGAATTTGTGGAATCGTGGGGTTTACACCAAGCCAACACTCCGTTAGTATAACCACATCTGGATCAACATTAAGTCGGGCTAACGAAATCAAAAAACCGTCAAAATTGTGTTGGAGGCTCCTAATATTGACATTTAAAACTTTAAAGTCAACACCTACGGGTAATAAATTACGACATTGCTCTAGGCTCTCAATGGAATGACACTTTACTGTCAAAGTTTCGTCTATGTCAACATGAAAGTCACACATTTTTTCGCTTAATAATAACAAATAATTCTACTAACTGCAAGAGTGATTTTGGACAGTAGTCATTAATTGAGAGCCAGAACAATCGGGAATGATGATTGTGTAGTGTGATGTTGGTGTGGTGCGTTTTGTGTGT